CATGACCTGAATTGTGAGTTTGACAAGACAACATGAATTGACTTGAACTTGATTATTTGAGTTATAGATTTGCCTTGCCGACTCAGGTTAATTTAAACCGATTTTCTTAAGTTTTTTTTATTTAATTTTATCTTTTTATATTTAATGAGCTCAGAATTAAGCTATATGAGTAGTCTCTTCTGAAAAAAAATTTCCTAGGCTATCATGATTATTATTATTTTTAATTTAATCCATATATTGTTGTCTTTTTTTATCATCTAAATAAAACAAAATCAATTTATTTAATCTAATTATATTTATAAGTCAAGTAATGAATTTTTATTACATTATTTTATAAAAAGAGTCAGGGCCACGGCAGATGTGCTTATTCCTTATCACACTAATGAAGTTTAAAAAATGTATACATTTTTTTCTAATTTTTTCTCTCTTGTTTTTCTATTTTTAATTTTTTTATAAAATAAATATAACTAGTTAGTCACCAAGCATAATAATAAAATTTTATTCTCACGCTTGCATGTGCTTTAATTAAAGATTCCCTTTATCACGTAAAATCTATTCAAGTATCCTTAATAAATAAAGTGCGAATTAAATTTTGATTGCGTGTACCTTTAACATTTAGCATGTCAACTATAACCGGGGTCGCTCAAGGATTTAAAAGAAATAAAAAATAAAATGATTAAGGTTATAGTCTCGACTAGATTAAAAATATTAGTTTTATTTTAATAAAATAATAAAAAAACAATGATAATAAACAAATAATTTTTTTAAATAATCAATAACCTAAAAAAAACATTTAGAATAATATAATTAAATAAAATAATAATAACATCCCAGCTCGTATAAACTCGTGGTTGCTTAATAAACATATAAGTTGAGTAATAAAAAATGAGTCATAATAAGTTAAATTGCAAAACTTGTGATTCAAGTAATGAAATTAAGATAACCAAGTTTCAACAAAAATAAAGGGAGAATTGACCGGGTATGATTCAATAAAAAAAACTAGATTGACTCACAGCCCAATTAATTTTAGAAAAACCCAATAAAAACCCATTGACCCTTTTCTCTATTTTTTTTTCATAATAATATTCTTTTTATATTTTCATAAAATAAAAAAATTTGCTTGGGATTGCCCTAAGTTGATCCCTAAGTTATGTTTAAAACCTATATGATAAATAACTTTTAATATCTATATCAAAGATTATTAGACTAGAAGCATGGTGTGCTTGAAAAAACTGAGAAGTCCAATCTTTAATAAATCAAATATTAAATGATAAAATTAGAAAAAAATTAATTATATGAAAAAAATCTCAATTAAAAAAATAATAATGAAAAAAATTAGGATGAAAATTGAAATAAGTCATAGTAAGTTAAATTGCAAAACTTGTGATTCAGGTAATGAAATTAAAATAACCCAACATATCACTATTTTAAAACACGACCCAACTTAATAGTTTAACTTATAAACCAGGTGATTCAGGGCCATAAGTCTTGCCAAGTTTTAACAAAAATAAAGGGAGAATTGACCGGGTATGATTCAATAAAAAAAACTAGATTGACTCACAGCCCAATTAATTTTAGAAAAACCCAATAAAAACCCATTGACCCTTTTCTCTATTTTTTTTTCATAATAATATTCTTTTTATATTTTCATAAAATAAAAAAATTTGCTTGGGATTGCCCTAAGTTGATCCCTAAGTTATGTTTAAAACCTATATGATAAATAACTTTTAATATCTATATCAAAGATTATTAGACTAGAAGCATGGTGTGTTTGAAAAAACTGAGAAGTCCAATTTTTAACAAATCAAATATTGAATAATAAAATTAGAAAAAAAATCAATTACATGAAAAAAATCTCAATTAAAAAAATAACAATGAAAAAAATTAGGATGAAAATTGAAATTAAAAAAAATTAGAGGGAAAGAATAATTCTTGGATCGAGGGTTAAATTAAAAATAAAAAAGAAATTAATAAAAGGACAAATAAAAAATCAAAAGAATAAAAATTGATTTAAAAAATAAAACTATTCTTGGGTTTAAGGATGAAATTGAAAACTATCAAAATCTTGATAAAAGGTTTATGAAAAAAAGATTAGAAATAAAAAGAAGGATAATATTGAAAAACATTATATATGAAAAATTAGGATGAATAATTAAATTGAAAATAAATAAAATTTCAACAAAATGATCAACAACAAAATCAAATATCAAAATAATAAAGACTAAAATTAAAATATTAAGAATAAAATGGACCAGTTTGTATTATTCAGATAAAATAGAGAAAACAAAAGGAAAAAAAGATAATTAGTATAACATATCACAACATTCATCGACATTTATTATCCCGAGAGAAAAGAAGTACTTTGACACATTCAATGGCATAATGATGGAACATTTTATGTCAGTAGAGGTACTACACATGTCGACCAAAATACTTGGGCACCTCCCATTAATTACCCCAATATTTACCAAAAAACCAACATAAAAAGACTTGAAGTTGCCTTACCTTATGGTATAAATTTTCTTACTTTAAGGGCATACTTGTCAATTTATTATAGTTAACAAATAAAAAGACTTATTTATCCCTTTTCGCCGAGTTTATAATTTTTTTTATTTTAAAAATAATTATGTTATTTTATTGTAAAAAAAGCTACTAATGCACCATAAAGATAAAAATAACTTTATAATAAGGGCATATGAATTTTTTTTGGGAAGGGCATTTCACTATTATACTGAATTGAAAAATATTTCTATGGTTACAGTGAAATCGGCTTTTCTATATATATATATATATATTAGCATCTTAATATTTAATGATATAGACACGACTTAAAGCATCTTTCAATATCAATATGGTTTGTCAAGAGAAATAATAAAATTTGTGAATCCTGGATAAGTTTTATAAGTATCCTAAATGAGATAATTAGAGATAATAATTTAATAATTTTTTATGTAGTTTAATTATTTTTGGATTTTTTTAATAATAATTTATGGAGTTTTAATGGCTCAAAGTCAAAACAAAGCTATTGTAAGATACTTATGGTGATCTTACCTGCATTTCATGTCAGGATGGATCAAAAGTTAATTTGTAATGCAAAAAGAATATGCAGGTGATGCTATTTTTTTTAACATTGAAATATTTGAAGTATAAAGTGAAAATTTAATGTGTCTTTAATAAAATAAATCAGCATTTATATGCAGATTAACATTTGTAATCTTGTGCCACATGCACGTATTTAATTTTTGAAAATTAAATGCCAATGTTATTTTAAAAACAACAATACTTTATACTCTATTTAAACAAAATTTCAGCTATTTGAAATAAAAAGAAAAAAATATTTCTCTAATTTAAATTCTATTTTCTTATTAATGCTTTTCTTGACAGTTTTAATGAAAATACATTTTCAAATTGCAAGAACTGTTTTCTAAACAAAAAATTATCATGTCTAAAAAGAAAATTAAAAAAATATTAAAATAACATCTTAGTATTTGATATATGATTGAAGATAAGATTTTTTTTTTATTAATGTGATAAAATTATATAAAAAATATTAGAAAACATAACTTCTATGTTAATTGAATATTCATGAGATCTTTTTATATTTTTTCTTCTCATATTAGGCATATAATAATTAGAAAAACAATGTTAATATTCTCATAAAAACCTATAATATAATATGAGAAATATTATAAAATACAATAATAATTAAAATATAATATAATTTTTTTAACAATACATTTAAATCTAAATCCAAAAAGTTAAAAACAAAAATATTAAAAGGCTAGAGCCAGGCAATTAACCCAATAGATAAAAGGTTAAGGTATACAAATAGAGGGCAATAAATGGGAGGGTTTGTAAGGTTGAGCCGAGACAACTGATTTTTTTTTTCAAGGAAAAGTTATTTTCTTGTTTACTTTCTGTTATTAGAAGATTGCTAAAAAATTAAATTGAGAGAATTTTATCTTAAAAAACCCATTTCTTAGCTCATTTTAGTCTAAAAATATCTAATAAATATCCATAGTAAAATATAACAATTCAAAACACTTTAAAATTGATCTAAAAATAAAAAATAAAAAAATTCTCTTCACACCAATCTATTTTTTAAGACAAAATGAATGCCTAAAAATATTTCAATATAACTTCTATTGTGGAATGAAATCTATTAACTATAAAATTAACCTTTTTAATTGTTGTAACATGACCAATCAATGACATTTTCTTTCCTTTATTGTTTTTTAGCGAGTTTCTTTCTCTCCCTTCAAATTAAAGGACTAAAAAAAATAAAATTAGCAAAATAAATAAATAAATCTATACATGTATTTAATTAAATACATCAAGAATTATATTTTTCAATAAATTCAAAATAAAATGCTAATATGTTTATTCAATTTACCTCGTTACAGGTCTAATAATTGTTTTCTAACATAAAAGAACTAATATATAAGTATTATTAAAGTGTTTTTAACATTTAATAAAGAATATAACCATGAATAAAAAAAATCAATGCTAATTTATAATAAAATATAGTAAATATCATATGTGTTAATAAAAAGATATAAGATTTTAAATTAATTTTTAACATAGTAGAAGTATGAAGTAATATTGTAATTATTATAGAAAATACTATTTTCTTAGGTTTTGTATAATAATTTCTCAAAAAAATGTAAAAAATTAAATAATGAATTACAAAAGAATTGAGATAAGAAAAAAAATGGTATAAATAAGTTAAATATAGAGTGATAAATATTTAAATTTTAAAAAAGAAAAATTAATATTTATTTTTCAAAAAAATATACAGAAAAAAAAGAAAAATCTAAAAAATAGTGATAAATAAATCAAGTATAAGATAATAAAAATATCAAGTATAAAAAATTATATATATATTTTTTTTACATTAACAAAATTTACAATTATATATTTCTACGTAAAATCACCTTAGTAATAATCGGTAAGCTAAAGCGCAGCTGGGCCTTAGGAATCACCGCTAAAAACAAATTGAAGGACAAATAACAACGGCCTTAATAAAAAAGCAGCCGAAAGCAAAGAGCCATACCGTTTAATCCCTCTCCACGACTCCGCTTTTTCCTTTTTTCTCTCTTAAATTCGCGCAATCTCTAAAATCCAGTCGCCGTCGCCGTCGTCGTCAACAACAACAACTCAATAGAAAGAAAGAGATAAATAAATCAGAGATGGACACCACAACCACCACCACCACTACCACCACCACCACAAATCCTAATAACAACAATTGCAATTTCATGTCATGTGAGAAGCTGGATCGGGTCGCCAGTTGGGTTGGGGTCAACGTGGCGTCTGCTTTCTTTGCTTCCCTTGAAAGATGCTCTTGCATCAACCTTAACACCACCGATCTTGAAGACGATGAAGAAGCCAGGGACCGTCCTCTCATGCTCACCAAGCCTTCGGCCCACGATCACCACCTCGATGCCCAGCCCACCATCAATAGCGATGCCCCTAAGCTCTCCGTCTGATCATCATGATGATCAAGATGATAATTACCCATCTTTTTTAGGGTTTGTTTCATTTCTGTAGCACTTGGACGAAATAGTTATATATTATAATAATAATAATAATAATAATAATAATAATAATAATACCCGTTACTCTTGCTGTTCTTCTCTTGTGTGTTTAGTGCTGTATTTTGATGTTCTATCAATCAAGCAAGATATTTCCTTTTCTTTTGTTAATCTTGCTATGATTAAGATGTTCTTTATTGTAATTTGTGTGTTTTTGCAAAATTGATCTTTATTTTTACCGATTGCGGTGTGGTTTTTATGATATTCTCTCAGCTAGAACTCTCAAGCCCTGTTCTTTATTCGTTATGATCGTCATAATTCATTGTCTAAAAAAGTTTTTCGTGGCCTGTGAATTGTAATTGTATATGATTGCAATTGGAGATTCTCTTAATTCGAACGAATTGTTTATAGGAACCACCTTTAAGAACAGGTTTAGACTTTAGATTTCTGGTGCCTGTTGCTTTCTCTCGGTAGGTAGTTGGTATTCCTTTTACTTTCATGCAGGTTATTACTGAGTGTAGGTGAATATAGTAAAGGTGGATCTTTCGAGGAATCTAATCCTCGTATCTTCAGCCGTCTAAATTATGTGACTGCTTTTAACTTTTGAAACATCAGTGCGACGTGGATTGAAGGTAAGACTATACCGCTACTGGGTACTTTTCGTTCTATGATCCTGTGATATCTCTGTTTTTATACTGTCATGGTGGCATTGACTGGGATGCAGAATAATAATGAGTTGTGCTATTGATCGGAAGGGAGTTTTTGTTCTTGATCACGCCAAATTATTGTTTGCCAAATTATTTCATTCATTCTGAGGCCATGCTTTTCCAAACTTAATCATTGAGATTTTAGATAGTATTAAATGTAGACATTTTTCTCTGCAAATAGTTAGTGCTTTCTTTTTAGAGTAGTCAACGTTGAATCATGACCTGAGCTTTATACTAAAGTAAGCGATGATATTTGTCTAATGCAGGGATGGTGTTTTTGGACTGGGCTGAAGAGATCAAACACTATTTTTTTCCTTTGGAATTTTATATTTCCTGCCATTACAAATTTTAGCCGATAAGTGAAAAACAATGCAGTTTAGCTAACCATTCAGAGAATCTTATAATAGATCCATCTTTGTTATAGTAAACAACAAAAGCTATAAATTTATCTTCGGCAATTAATCATTGTTTCCGTCTATATGCCTTGGATCCCTGGTCAAACACAAGTACTGGTTCCTTATATCAGTCAACAGTATCAGCATTCAAAAAATATATCCAATTGTGGAGTGATGGGATTGTTGGTATTAGCCAGCAAGACTACTATGGTGGCACCGGATCATTTATTTTGTGACTGAGAATGCTATGTGTAATTATATGCATTTGCTAGGGAATGGCCATCCAGAAAAGGAAAAAAAATATGAAAGAAAAAGTTGCAGCATGGTTAAACAGCATATCGATGAAAACTTATTTATACTGCATGGGTGGCCAAAGTTTGAATTGTTTGCAGTGTGCAGCACTAGATATCAAACACAAATGGGTGGTCTGATAAAGTTATGGAAAGGTGATCATTTATCTCCATGGTCCCTCCAGCAAACCAGCATCAACACACAGCGCATGATAACATATAGTCTTCCTCTCTTCTCTTTCAGACTCTTGCTTGGAACCTGAACTTTGCCTCGTCTTCTAAGTGTAAAAGCTAGACATGGTTTGCCCATGGCTCTGTCTCTGTTGCCCTGTAACAAATTAGATAAGCTAAGAACAAATGGAAAAAAGTTTCATCACCTTTGTTCCTCAGCTCTTAAATAATCCTTCATCTGTAGCAGTATATACGGTTTGTTTCTTACAAAGATGCAAGTCACAAGGGCTTGCTGCAAATTTTGTCTTCGAGTGCAGTAGCAAGTACTTTTTTATATTCGTTGTAATTTGAGTTTTGGAGCCAGTGACTCTGATGATAAATAAAATAAAATAAAATTGAGGATCAAGCCTTTTTACTTAAGAACCTAAATTTTAACCTTTAAAAAAAAAATCAAAGAAAATATCAAATGGACTTTTAATACCGCCATTTTAACCATAAAACATATTTCCCTTGGACTAAAACCTAAAATAAAACCAAATAAAAAAATTATTGAATTATCGAGTCCGATATGCTCTTCCAATCTTTCAACTGAAGGATTGGGATACACATTTAGGCAAGAAGTTCTAAATGGGAGGCTGGCAAAGACTAAAAGCATCTGCATCAGCAATTTAACATCAAAGTAGCAATTAACTCTTGCATAGATATAAAAGTTGAAGTCTGATAACAGTTACGAATCCAAGGGCCTGATCCAGGTTCTTTCACATTCAGATGAAATTGAAGATTTTTATAGCTAATACATAATGGTTCTTTTGTAGAAGGTAAAACAAAAGATCATATAAAGCTCATTCAAGCAAACATCAGTAAGTTCCTTTTTTATATCTTCTATACATACACTTAAAGGATTCAAATTAACGACTCTTTCTCATGGATTGATCATATCTGGATTCCAACACATTTGTCCATTGGCACTCTGTGACAAGGTGGACACTATTCTCTGGTTACTCTTCAAATTCAAGTAATCAACCTGTGAATAGGATGGATTTTACAAGGCTTAAAGAAAATTAAAGGTATCATCAATCAATTCAAGATTGTATAAGGTTGAACCTGATCTGGCTCTAAAACCAGCACACAAAATGTGGCGACTGGGCCTGAAGAGGGGTCAAGGAAAAAATTCATCTGGAGATTGCTCACTTAGACAAGGAAGACCAGGATTAGGTCCCAAGTACTGAAGCCTTGATTTTATAGAACTAGCAAGCCACAATTTCTCTCTTTGCTGCATCATGAATTTAAAGATATGAGCAAACTCTAAGCAGATCCAGGAAATTGAATGCTAAAAGATGGAAAATTCAATTGCGTAACACATTAGAAGTCATTATCTTGAATTAAAAAAAGCCTTATTTCAGCATAAGACTACAAGCACCATCCCATACAAAACTTGTTTTGCCATTTCTAACAGCAGATGTCTTGTGGACATCATGTGATTTTCAACTAATTCTGTTTTATGATTCATGGGTTACCTGTAGTGGTGAAACTAAAACACCATGTTAATGAAGATAATCTTGTGTTTCAGTAAAGATCTATAGTACAGTAATGCCATGAAACTGACAAGTGGTCCTTTTTTCTTTGTTGAAAGGGTAACGTTTGCAACTTGCAGACAATGAGGTGCATCGAGCTGGGAGCCCTCCCCTTTTACTTTCAAACAGCCAAAGCGACCTATTGGCAGGATTCGGTCTAAGGCATAAAGAACTAACAAGGTCAAAAATGGGGCGGGTTCAGATCCAAAGCAAACTTTTTCGTGACTGTCTAACTTAACAAGGTTGTTGACTTGAGTAATGTCATCTTGCAAAACTAAGTAGGACTAGCCATTCTGAAAAAAAATGTTTTGCACTATGTTTAACTCTTCCAAGTGACAAAACCAATTAACACATACCCTCTCATGCTGGGCTCTCTTCTTAAATAGATGCCATCACTCATTAACCTCTTTGTAACTTTCTAACATATTCTCTCTCATACATTGCACACTATTAAAAGACTCATAAAATTCTAGTTTTGTGCAAGCACAAGAAAATGTGGAATATATATAACAAGCCATGACTTAACATTCAGCATCAGAAGTCTTTTTCTTAAACCCAAGAATGGAACATTACCGTTTGACTTCTTTATTTAACACCAATGATATATATGGAAAGACATCTTGTGATAAAATGTGATTTAATGCAAGGGATAAAGGGATAGAACCTGATGCTTTGCCGGATTGGGATTGGACCCATCAATAACATCACCTCTTCCATTGATCCAGAATTGCTCCCAAGAGTCGGTAACATACCAACAAATCTACATCAGGTCAAGTTACATCTAAGTAATTCCTATAAAAAATTGAAGAATAACAAATTCTGACAACAAGCCAAGTTACATCCACGTAGCATTCCTATCGAAAATTGAAAAGTAAAAAAATTCTGAAATACAAAAGAGTCATATATTTATTATTACCTCAGCAAATGGACAATGATTGAGCTCTTCAATCTGCATATCGAGGTTTTTTGAAGGAAAAAAATTCAAATAGCACAATAATTAATAATCATATTAAAGGGGAAAAAAGGGGCGAAGTAGCAAGAAAACCTTGCGTGTACGGAAATCAGCGTTGATTTGGATTCTATCACTATTTTCTTCAAATCCTCTGTGAGTAGAAAACCCAGAAATAAACAAGCAGACATCTTCCTTAAAAATTCGTAAAACACAAACAAACTTCCAATTGATAATACAAAAAAAGAAGATAGACATTGAAAATTAAGAGGAAGGACCTGAAAACGACAGAGCGATTGGAAGGTCAGCCATGAGTCCAATTGTTGCCTGGAAGAAAACAGCATCGCAATTAATAACTAATAAATTAGCGTTACTTAATTACGAGTAGAGAGAGAGACATACATACAAATTGAACGAAATAAGAGTGCTTGAGGTGAGAGCTTGACTCTATTGCCCTCAGTGGAAGCTGCTTCCATGGAGACGGGGTTACTGTTCCCATTTCATGCTCGCTCGCTGCTTCTGCTGTCCAGTCCTTGCTCTGTTTTTGAGGGAGAGAAATTTATGATAAATAGGAAAGGCATTTTGGGCTTTCTTTGCCAAGTGCTACAGTACTTTGGAGTGGTATTTCATGGGCCATCTTTTGTGCCAAGTCTACACACAGCATATGATGCTATGGGCCTTTTTCTTATTTCAATAATTTCAACTGGCTTGATTTTGGGTGTTTAGCGGCCTGAAACCTGGAAGAGAATTGGGAAGGAGAAGGAGCAGGAGCAGGTTTTCACCATGCTAGAGCAAGAATTGCTTCGTCGTTTTCTCTTTTTTTTCTAGAAATGAAGGGCCTTGAGCCCAAACAAACAATCACGATGATAAGCAACATGGATTGGGAATTGCCATTTAAAAAAAAAAAAAAACTATATATGTTATAAAAACATTAAAAAAGTTTGGTGGGAACATTGTTCATGTAAAATAATGTTGGATGTTGGGATACAATTTCAAGCTAAAAAAAAAGTGTTAAATTGTTTTTTTAAATAATATTTTTATTTCAGCTTTTAAACTCAATATTAGATACAAATCAACAAATTTATTATTTATATATTAACATATATAATTCTTAATTTATTTTATTAAATACAAATATAATTTTTTCAGTTTACAATTAATTTTTTTCTTGATAATAAAAAAATACTAACAATGCTAGAACTCTTTTTTTGCATTGAGAAAAAAAAAAACTTCATCCTAAACATAGCACGAGGAATCAGATTAGTGTGTGCGTATATATATATATATATTTTTTTTTTTTCAAATATGAAATCTATTAAAAGAAAAACATTAATAGCAATTGTGATCTTAATAGAGTAAATCAGGTAAAACCTATAAAAGAAGCCCTTCAATATTGTAATTCAAGTCTAGATTAACCAATCAATCCTGGCTTTCTTACATTTCGCCTGCACCATCAAGATTAATTTCCTTGAATGAAGGATATATCCCCTGAAAAAATCTTCAGATTTGATATTAATATTTAATACCAATAGCAATTCTTTTCTTTTCTTTCTTTCTTTCTTTCTTCTTCCATATTTACATTTACAAGAGAAAAAGCCAATTGTATGGTTTGATCAAATATATTATATATCTTATAGATAAAGACAAAACTAGATTTCTTACTTATGCTAAGTTGTGGATTTAGAACTAATTTAGACAATAATAATATTTGTAAAAAAAAAAACCAATATAATAATCTGACTTAACTATTAACTTGATTTGACTCAATAAAATCAAGTAAAGTAATAGTTTAATTTTACGATGATAAACAAACTATACAAGAAATTTTGATAATAATTAATTAAAACAAATAAAGTACCAATATCATAACCAAAAGGAAAAGAAAGAAAAGATCGATGGAGACTCATCGTCATTCAATTATGGACAATATCTACCACTATAAGACCTTGTTGAAAGCCTGAAACGGCCCAAAATTCACTGCAAAAAAGTGCATGAAGACATTAAAAGAAGCTATATAAGTTGTTATAACAATGCTACAGAAAAGGAAAAAAACAAAAAAAAAAACACAGTAATCATTTGCTTATATTCAACCAATCACTTCTATTTAACTCAAAAATAAGATTTATCTATAAAAATAAACTTCATAAAAAAACAATACATTAAAAGATCTAAAAGAACCTAATAAAAAAGGATACAAAAGTTGGAAAAAACTCGAGCCCAATCTCCAATTAAATAAATATTGAAGAATAAAATTAAAAAAATATTAAATAAAACAAATAAATCTTGAGCGAGCCCTCTAGAGTTGAGTTAATTTTCAAAACTTATAGGCCATAAAATCTTAGATACGGGTTTAACCAAGAAGCTAGAATCAAAACATATTAAAAGTTGAAGGGTGAAATCGAGTAAAAAATCAATTAAAAAAAATCAAAAGAATAAGGACGAAATCTAATAGCAAAAAAATAATGGAGGGGGAATTAGAAAAAAATTCAAATAAAAAAATTATCTGAGTTTATGTAAATAGCAATTAAATTAATTGAAAATAAATCTAACAAAGCAAGAACTTGTATGAGGTTGAAATAAAATTTCAATTTTTTAAATCATTTAAAAAAAAGAAAGCAAGAAAAAGGAAAGAAACATGAAACAACATAGAACAAAAAAAGGATGGCCACTGGCAAACTTATCTATGCACACACTGTTTTTTTATAAAGAACACGCAGAAAGAAAGGCATTAGAAGCAACCATGAAATGACAATTTTGGCTTCCTTAATTAACAACACATGTCAATATTTTTTAAAAAATTACTTTTTATTTATTAAAATACATAAATAACCCTAACCTAGCTCATTAATTAAAAAACAACTATCAACAAAATAACATAAATAC